GAGTGCGGGCTTGGGGGTGCGGCGGGGCCGGTTTGCGCCCCAGCCTCTCTGTAGCATTGAGAGTGCAGAGGGGAGACATCCCTTGGGGGGAAAGGGGTGGCCTTCCCTTGTGGGCCCACCTGGCCAACTTGGGAATGACACAACAGGGTCCCAATGCTGATGTCTAACCCCTCTTCACTGGGGAAATGCGCTGAAGAGAGTCTGGAGGGTGGGAAGACGAGAGGGAAGTTAAATATATGTATAAAAAGAACAGAAACCCTTGAAGAGCTCGCCCACCTCCATGTAAAGCTACCACTCTCCTGCCAACATGTGATGCCTCACTTTTCATTGCTACCCAATTTAAAAAAAAAATAAATTGTATGAGAACAGCCAGAGAGGGACAGGGGTTTGGAGTGGATCCTCATGGAAGATGCAGTGTGCTTCAGGTCGGCAGCCCAGAGCCAAAACAAAAAATGTGAAATTTGCGCATGCTCCAAGAACCCAGTGTGACAATTCTGCTTGCAGGGTAAAGGCGGTTGGAGTAAATGTTCCAGAACAGATGTTTTTAGTCCGGTGCACTTAGAGAACTGCTCCCTGACAGACCCAGTTGATGTCTTCCCCAGCATGATTGGCTTCTCCGTGTAGACAGGGGCCACTTCTTGGGCACTGCGTCACTCGGAGCTTGTGACAAAGTTCTAGGTCAGCTCCAGGAGGTTCTGCTTTAGCCTGGGCTTTTGGACAAAAAGGTCTGAGTTGTAGTCCCTCTTCCTTGGGGTGTTCCTCGTTGAAGTAACGCAGCCCAGATGCTTCCTCCTAGGTGTTGCCAGGGGAGGAGGGGAGAAGGTGAGGAGGATGTAGCAATTTTGCTCAGTGGGCTCCAGTATGAAACCCGTGGGCAGGTATGTCTATGGGAACAAGATGCTTATTAGAGCTGTTGCTTTAAAATGTCTTGTTTTCAATTCTCTCTCCCTACATGTTTTGAATATATTTAGGGCATTTATCACCATAGCATCAAAGCACTGAAATATCCTGTGCAAGAAACTGAGACATCTGTCCCAAAATAGCTGCCTGCTCTTTTACCAAAGCACCAATTTTGCTGTCAGTGCTTCCTTTCCCTGCCATTGCCCGTGCCTGTGCATGTGTTCGCACGAGTGTTGGAGCTTTCTCTGTCCCCATCAGCCCAATGCTGTCACTTGCTGTCATAATGCAGTGGGTTAAGGGCCAAGTCCAGGAGAGATTTGTGGTGCTTTTTGGTGTATTTGTCTTAAGACCTCAGTATTGTGTAATGGGCTGAATGGTTTTGCGGGCTTCCTGTGTGCTGTGAAAACTTATTGCTGTTTATCTTGATATGAGAGGATAAGAGGGTGGTTTTGTTCCATGAAAGGCAATCTTCTGAACTGATAATGTGAGCACTATCCAGCTGTTTTGAGCCTAGATGTGCAGAAAGAGTTTATGGCTTGTGAAGTCTAAAGGTGTGCTGGGCACCTTTGGCTTTTCCTGATGCTCTTGGTGTCCGCCGCAGCTTAGTGCATCTGATAAATCAGGCCAAAGGAGGTGCTGTCTTTCCTTGTATCTGGGCGTTGGTGGCAGGACCGAGGCGTGAGAAACGGAGCTGCGGTCACTTCTGTCTGTTCTCTGAGCTTTTCCTTCTCAAGCCCCAAACCGAACTTCAAATTCTTCCTTGCTGCCTGGCCTCACACGCCTGCCTCTCGTGGGAAAACCTGCCCCACTTGTAGATTAAATTTACAAGGTGGCTTACTTCAATGTACATCTGTCTGAGGCCCCTGGTAAGTTACGGTTTGTTGTTTTAGTTTTTACCCCTCATCTTCAAATGCCTCTCTGCATGCGGACTGCACTGAGCTCCCTCCTGAGCGCCAGCAGTTACTCATGTGCTCCCTGATCTCGAGGAATGCTCCTTCTGGGCTCGTGATGAAGCAGGCGCTGGGGTCTTGCAGGGCAGGGTTAATTGCTAATAACAAGGGAAGGTCTTTGATCAGAGCTGCCGCAGAGTCCCTGGCTCATCGTCTCGTTCCTGGCTCCCTGGGGACACTGAGCTCTGGCTGCCTCTCACTGTAGTCTGTAAAAGATCGGTATTGGCATCAGCGGCCGTGGGTGCGCAGGGATGGACCCGTCCCCCTCCCCAGGGCACAGCCCAGCCTGCTCCCAGCCGCACCACCCTGCTCAGCGAACGGTATGGCCACAGCAGTCCCGTTAGACCTTGACTCTGTTGTATCAGTGTGAGGGGAGGATGCTGTTTTTTGAGGGCAGTAAAGTGCAGTTCTCCTTCCGTCCCTACACACCCCATCCCTGCCAAGTATTCAGCTGGGCTTCACGTCTCCTCCTGCTCCTTCTTTGCCAGCATTGCCATCTGCATAATTAATTCCTGCATACCTCCAACCAGCCATGCCACTGTCTTCTGTGAGCCTCATGGGAGGTCAGCTGTTGAAATGCATTAGATGCTTGGTCAGCGGATTACAGATCAGGTCATACCAAGCCGTCGGTCCTCTCATTAGCATGCGGTAAGTGATCACATCTGGAGCCAGGCGCGAGCGGGCAGCCCCTACTTCCCCTCCAAACTAGCATTATAAATTACTACCCGAGCTGGTCCTGGACGTACCTAATGCAATTCTATTTATTTCTGAATGTGCCTGGGAGAAGTGGATGTGTTCTTGGTTGTACAGCCAGCTTGTGAGGTTTTCTGATTCAGTTTTAAAGGGATGAGAGGAGTCTGCAGCAAAGAACCAGCATGTCTTCTCCAAGACATTCAACTGTCTTTGAGGTGGCACTGCTGAGAGACATGTTCACCCTCTTATTTGCAGCTTGCACCACCTTTTATACCTGGGCAAACTGCACATTTTCAGTTTGTCAGGATTTTTCTGCAGGAGATTAAATAGCGACAGAGAGCACAAGGTGAAGAACTTATCTGTGCCATTGGTGGTTTCTGTGCTACTGAAAATCCCTGCAGGCAGATGCCAGCTTCCTGCTCCACAAACAGAAAAAGTCTGAAAGAGTGAAAGAACAGGGTCTGTAGACCAATAAATGATTTTATCCATTCCCTTTTAGTTCCAGAAGAAAACGTCCTTCTCTGAGGCTGTGCCAGTGCCTTGGAGAGTTTCCGTGGACCAGTGGAGTTAACTTCATGGGTTTTGTATGCAGTTAACCAAGGATGTGATTTTACAGCAGTTTTGGATGCAGCAGAGCTACTGCTGTTAGGAGATCTAGCAGTCAGTGGTTGTAGCTAGGCTGGGAATTGCTGGTCTATTAACCAGCAATAAAAACAAAGTATGAAAAACAAAAGCTGTTGTGCATGGGTTTGCTGGAGAGCGGTCCCAGCTGGCAAGCCGGGCACTGCTCTCTGGCTCTGCCTGCTTTTCCGTGGATTCACAGGAGGATGCTTGAAATGGGGTCAGCCAAAAACTGGAGCTGGTGCTGCTATGGCAGAGGGGTGGTCTGCGGCATGGTGAATGCTGAATTCTGCTTTGTGTTACATAGACAGTGTTTCGTGCATCTTAATGTAGACTTAAAACCATGAATCCCACTTAGGATATTTACAAAAGCAGTATCTGAATGGGTGAGCGGTGGGAAGGAGTTGGAGGGAGCTAATGGACTGCTGGGAGATAGCTGACAGGTAATTAGAGGAAACCAAGCAATGATGAGAAGCAAGATTCAATACCCCTGTCTACAGAGTCTAAGTGACTGTGGTAATGGCACGTCCCTTTCCACTGTCTCTTTCCTCTCCAAATCACCTTTTAAACTGTATTCTGTGTTAAAACTCCTTGACTAAAACCAAACAGAAAAGCAAGCAAGCAACCAGCCTAACAAAAAAATATCTGAGTGAACCCCCCTCTAAAGGCAACATGAATTGTCAGCTAGGAACTGACTGATTTTGATTTATGGTTTCTTTATCTTGCAGAAGCAGGAAGGTAATGAACCAGTGTTTTGATCTCTGTGGGCTTTCCTGCAGCAGTGAGGAGATCAAAACAAGCTTAACTATTTCTGATACCTGCACGCTTTCTTCCCTCTCCCGCTCCTTCTCCGGTACCTCACAGGCAGCCTTATACGACACCAAAGCACATCAGTTTTGTGGATGCCACAAACCTGCTTCGCGTCTCCCTGGTGCTCGCAGCAGCCCTGGGGCAGTGGGGCTCCTCCAGCCGCGCTCGGCACAGCTGGGGCTGGGACAGGACTCTCCCGTACAGGGATAGATGCTGTCCTGTCCTGTCCCGCTCCATCGGGAGCTGCCCCAGTTCTCTGCAAGCCTCGGACTTGCAGGTCCTGGGGGTGCTGGTGGTGTGGGAACATGGGGAGTGCCTGCCCCTGGCCGCGGGAAGGGGAGCGGTGGAGGCAGCAGGCTGGTGCAGGGCCTGGGGCGCTTGCCCCTCGCAGGAGGGAGAAGAGGAGCAGGTGTGTGAAGGGAAGCAAGCAGAGGAGTTACCCCGTCAGTTTGCAGAAATGCTGCTGTAGTTCTTCTTGACAGGGAAGGTCAGCTGCCCAGAGAGGTCCAGCGACAGCGCCTTCGGGTGCAGCGCCCGTCGCTGGTGCAGGGGGCTGGAGCTGGTCCTGGGCGAGTAGAGCACTGCCAGCTCGGGGCCCGGCAGGCTGGCTTCTGGCAGGAGAGCCTCCGCCACGGCTGCTGGCTCCATCCTACCGCGTGGCAGGCTCGGGGAGGGCTGCAGGCTGTGCCGCTTGGGCGGCGGGGGGCTGTGGTTCTGGAACCTCACCGTCTTCACTTGCTGCAACGAGAGGGGGACCAGAGTCACGGTGGGAAAAGCAGCCACCCTCCCGCCTTGCTGTGATCTGCCCTGGAGAACCGGGGGGATGAGCTGAGGGGGTGACTGGCTCTTTCCCGGGGGCAGAGGCTGCCTGCGGAGAAACCCAGCGTGATGTGCAGCTGATAGGAGGTGGAGGAGAGTGCCAGGGAGGGAGCCTGGGGCAGCAGTGCCATCAGCTGTCACAGAGACCTGGGAGAGTCCTGGAGAGCCATCACCCCAGCTAGCGGGAGAGAGCGGAGGGGGGCAGCAGGTTCAGGTGGCCTGTGATGACACGAAGAGGGAGGGTGGCCTGTCCTGCCGTGCCCCTCGTGGGGAGCCCGTGGTTTCTCTCCACCTGCTGATGTTCTCCCTGGGAGCTCTGAGGCTTTGGGGCTCTTTCAGGGGCTTGTGGAGCAACTTACTCTTTGGGTGCCACGGGAAGGGAAAGCTGTTGCTGGGGCAATTTGCAGAGCCATTTTATCTTTATGAAACTTCCCTCTGGCTGCCAGAGGGGAAAGAAATTTCCATTCCAAATGGCTCAGCCACAGTGACGCGACGGAGATTGGGGGATCGCTGTAGAGACCAGCCTGACATAAGGTCTAACGCCCAGGTCTGTGGTGTTTGCTCCCGAGCTCCCAGGGACCTCAGTGGGATTCTTGCCTGATTTTAGTCCTCAGAAGTGTCTCAAGATTTGATCATGCCTGAATATTGGTTTACACAAAAAGAGATTCTGCAGCATCTTGCCTTTCTAAAGGGCTTAATATGAACAGCAGTGTCAGCAACACAAATATCTGATTCCTTAATGCAGGTACCAATCCCAGTGATTTCTATCAGAAGAAAACCTGGGAAGAATGGAGTGAAGCCCTCAAGGGATTTGGCCCCAGTCAATATCAGGCTGGCACTGGATGCCAGTCCCAAGAAGACTGGGGGACCCTCTGAAGCAGCAGGTAACGCCTGGCTGTACCTTCTCGGTGCTGTTGCGGGAGGTCTCTGGTTTCACCAGGATGGACGGCGGGGCTGACGCAGGTGGCTTTGGAGCTGCCTCACTCTTTGCTGGCAGGTCTTTGGCATCCAGGATCACTGAGCTGCACACGGAGGGAGTTCTGCTTTCCCTTCCTCTGACCACAAGCATTGGTGAAGCGTCCTGGGAGAAGTTTGGCCTCGTTCCTGCCTCAGCCGTGCCGGCTCCAAGAGGGATGCTGTGCGGCTGGGGGCTGACGTGCTGATAAAGCTGAAACTGCTGAGGTTGCACCGCAGCCATGGGAGGACGCCTGAGGGAGCCGGCAACCGGCACGAGGGTCCCAGCCTGCCCCGGCCTCTGCAGTGATCCATCTGGGGAGCAAGAACCATTTGAAAAGAAGTAAGTCGGCAGGAATCCAAAATGGCACAGACAAAGCAAAGAGGCAGAAGCGAGCAGTGGTTACAGCCCTGCACTAACAGCCCCGCTCGCAGAGATGCTGTGGGGTCATAGCTCCCCGGGATCGCCACGCATCTACCCCCATGCACCGTGACTGGCATGCGGTAACACCGACTGCCTCCACAGCCTCTCCTCGGCAGGCAGCTGCTCTGCTGGACACCAGCACGGCCCACAAACCAAAACCCTCAGTCCTCTTGTATTTGCACAACAACTCATGCCACAGAAATTCTTCTGTCTTGGATAGGATCGGTCTGGTTTCCGAGAGCTCCCCTGCCGCCTTCTGGACTGCAGGTGCCCTTGGTGCAAGCTCTGAAATGCATTAACCTGAACACCAGGTTGCACAGCCGCAGCACGACACGGTTGGATTTTCCTGCCCAGCTCCCAAGGGAAGGAGTCGTGGCAGTGCTGATGCATGGGGAAGTGCTGCGATGGGTGGGCAGGATCACCGAATCGGTTTGGTTGGAAGAGACCCCTGGGACCACCGCGTCCAACCTTTGCCCTAACACCCCCACGTCAGCTAGACCGTGGCACTGAGTGCCACCTCCAGTCAGAGGCAGCCCCACCGGGAAGGGCTGAGCGGGGTGACCATGCTGGGTGGCACAGGACATCTGCCACCAGCACGTACTGCTGGGGAGCAGAAATCTCCCCCCCGAGCAGAAGCCTCCCCTGGGGAACCCCTCCTGTGACGGGGTCCTCGTGGGGCGGGGGGAGCTCCCTGCCCGCTCCCCACGGTTTCTTTGCCGAATGTACGAACTGCCAGCAGGAGCCCTGCTCTGGAGCCCTGCCGCCGGCCCTCGCCGTCCCGCGCTGTTTGCTGTTCCTATTTGGCTGCTCCATCCCGTAGCTGCTTTCCCATCTGCGGTGCGGGAAGTCACACTATTTCTTCTGCAGTTTCTTGCTGTTCACAAAATTGTTTCTTCTTTTTCTTTTCCCTCCCCCCCAAACGGAGCCACCACAGGGGAATGAGTCCTTTACAGTAAAACAACTCTTCAGATGAATCCAATTTCGAGTCTGAAACCACTGACCATGGCCCTTGCAAGCGCGCCTCCCCCTTGCCAGAGCCCTGCTGGCCTCCGGCAGCTGCTCCGCCTGCACGCGTTGGGGAATACGCTGTTTAGTTGCCTAAATACACGTGGAAATGGATTCCAAAACAGCATGTATGGGCTGAAGATAAACCTTGCCAGCCTCATTGCAAAGAATATAACCAACTGAGCTCTGCATAAACCTTCACAAAGAGTTTTTCTGTGCGGGGTTAAAAAAAACTACGATTACCAAAATAACCAGATCTGGGGAAAAGCGGTGGTGTGGGACCCTGTGCTCCTCCACCAGCCTGGCAGGAGGTGTTCGCTGAGGCTCCTTCTCCCTGCCCTCCGTCCTCGGAGAGGCGTTTCCTACGGCCCTGGCACGTGTGAATGAGAAGCACGTTTTAGGTCTTCACGGAGGAGGAGAAGTAAAACCGAGCTGATCTGGAGGTTTTTTCCCCTCTAGGTCTCTGCTACATCAAGGCTTTTGACTTCACAATTTCAGTGGGTAACTCCTGCTTTTTTTAAAAATTTTTTTGTGAAGTATGCTTTCTCACCTTCAGGCTATTCATGATTTTATGCATCTCAGATATTTCCAAGCTGAATTTTTTTTCTCCTGAAACAGAAATTACTCTATTCTCTTGATCATCCTCCTGCACACTTTCCTTGATTTTACTATATTCTTTTTGAGTTACCAGAAATACAGTGTTCAGGATATGAGTTTTCCAGAACTCCCTCAATGGCACAGCTGAGTTTTACTCTTTTGTGCTGAGTTCCTTTCTTCATAACTCCTAATAATACTCTAAATTAACCTTTTTAGAAATTGTTTCTGAGTATGGAGTTGGAGCTCTCAAAGAGCCATCTGTGACAATTCTAAAGCCTCTCTCCAGAGTGACAAAAGCTAATTTAGGGCCCAAGGTTGTGTCCGTATGATTAGGCAGTGTTTCTCCCTGTATCTGCGTACTGATGTTTCAGCTACCGTTTCCGTGCCCTGTTGCTGGGCGTTGTGGATTTCAAAGGTTGGATTTGCTGATTTACATTTTCCAAGATCACTGCAGAAGTCTCTTTTAGAGACTGATAATGTTGTCTTGGTACAGTTCACGTTTACCTTGCTGGAGTTTGTATTTAATTTTCTTTGTTGCCGCATAAGGATACTTTTACGTCTAATGGCCTTCCTCTATTGTTTAAAGGTTTTTGGTTAACCAGTGCATTTTGAGCCACATTCCTGTGCCTGCTGAGGACACGGTCATCAGCCGCTCCCCCAGAAGCGAGCCGTGCCACGCTCCAGCGCGGTGCGGGTCGGTACAGGTGAGCCAGATAGCATCACCCACGGCCCTGCGTTTCTGCCTTTGCATGGGGATTAACCCCTCCGGGGATTTCACCGCCCTCCCCTGCCAGCCTGGAGAGTTAATCCACAGAGGTCAGGGCAGGCTTTGCTAGGCTCAACCTAGAAAATCACATTTCCTTCGCATGCAGCCGCTTGCCCAGTGGCAGGACAATGCTGCCTGTCCTCTGTGCTGCAGCCCAGCTGTAACAAGACCGCTTGGAAAGACCCTTCTCCAGAGCCAGTTTCACAAGGGGGATGCAGTCGCTCCGTGTCTGCAAACCCGGTATGTCAGCCGGGAACACCTGCCCACCCTGGCTCATGCCGTGGGGGGATGCAGCGGGTGCCCCAGCGCTCGGCCGGGCTCG